GAGCACCACGTCCCCTCCAAAGACTTCGGTAGCCCCGCCACCCCCACTGAAGCTCTTCCCCAGTATCTCCAGCCACCCCAGCACTCACACTCCAGTCTAATTTTCAAATTTCCTTTCAGATCACGGACTACTGGAGGGCAGGGGAAATCCCTTTAATAATACCCCAGTGCCCCCAGTGTGTGAACGGAGGTGTTGAATCGAGGTGGCATTTCCGGCCAGTTAGAGGGTTTCCCTATTTTTTTTCCTCCCTGTGAAATGATGAGAAACATTCTTTCCTTCTGTGCTTCTTTTCTTTTCGCTTCCCTCTTGTTTTCATCCCCTCCCTTGGGAGAAGTCATGAGCAATGTTGGGGTTGTAGGAAGCATAAATAGGAATGAAAATGAAGGATAATGTGAGGACGATCCCAGTTCCTTCCTACCAGTCATCTTGGTGTGTAATCAGCCTGTTTTGATGGCAGGTGCTGGAGGGTGTGGGTTGGCTGAGCAGGATTCACTTGTAAGAGCATCAGTTTAAAGGGTGAGTCAGTGAGGCAAGCTATGCTGAACACATCTGCATTTTGAAGAACTTTTAAAAATCCGTATTCATCTATCAGTAAGAATTGCATCACTTTGTAAATGAAATGTATGAAGTTCTCTATACGAGGTCATTCCAATAGTTTATCCGTATGTAATTTTCTACTACCAGTGGTGGAAACAAATGGCAATGATATTTATTGAGATAAATGTTGGGGATTTACATATGAACATTTGATGGTTGAAAGTGGAAGAATGCTTTTCCTCCATGCACTTGGATGTTTTATAACGAGAACGTGCCGTCAGGCATACAAAGTATGACCAGAGACATTTTCACACATGTTGCTACCTGTCTCAGTCTCAAATCATCACCTTTTCTGTGTCCCAGGCCACAGAATCATTACACTGTGTGGGTGTGTGAAATGTTTCAGCCAACTGGAAGGGGTTGCATTTTCCTGTGTATCAGACAGTGACTGGCCCTTTTTGTCCTTGGGACATGGAGCACAGATTTATGAGTGGTTAGTTCCCCACTTCCCCACCAGGGCCCACAGGGGTCCAGTGACCAGGCTGTGGTGTGACAGTAGGTTACGATAGCCATGCAGCTCTTCATTGTGACATACTAGGCCTGGATCTGCAGCTGAAATCTGGGTGGAGGACAAGCAGTATTGTTTCAGGAGCTGGTGAGGGAGGTTCTGTAAAATTAGAAAGCATTAATAATCTAGGGCAGTAACCTGGCACTGTGGCTTCCTCCCAGACTCCTGTGTTATATTTTAGATTTTGTCAGTCGTTTTCAGAGACCTCGGTGGATGTGTGTGTGTGTGTGTGTGTGTGTGTGTGTGTGTGTGTGTGAGTGTGTAAATTGCAAAACTTACAAGGACTCTCATGTCTTTGTAGTTGGCATTATAGTGATTTAAGGGCCTTCTTTTTCCCAAATTCTACTTCATATTAGTCATCATCACCATTTTGAAAGGTTCAGTTCAATGTTAGAATTAGTAACAAGAGTTTCATGTCCCTTGTCTAGGAAATTTAGGAAGCTGCAAAACACTGGACTGTAACCTGCAGTTTGAAAACCAAAGCTGTGCATACATGAATGTTACTGACCCTTGCCTACAAAAACTGACAGTGGGGAAACAGCATCTATTTCCCTCCTCACAGAAGCCTGACACAGGGCCTGGCTGACAGCACCCAGGCCTCCCTGGACATAAACACGTTTTTTTTCTTCCACAACTGAGAAGAATATTTTAAAATCCTGATTTTCTCTTTATTTCATTACCTAGCTTTTCTCTGCCTTCCTTTTTTCCCCCTATTCTGTCTTTTCTCCTTTCTGCCTTTGACCACTAGCTCCTGAGGCCATGTTCTCTACTGCCCTGACCCCTTCCAAGCGTGGCTGGGGCTCCCTGGCCGCCCCTCTGGGCCTGATCTCCAGCTTACCTTACAGGTCTAGGTTTCTCTGACAAGTTTTTCCTGCTCCCTCTAATAGTGAACTCCATTTCCTGGTTGGTCAAACAGCACCTCCCTGTGGCCCATCACGTTGCCTTGTAAGAGCTCACAAACTGTCTCCCTGTCCAGACCTTGAGCCCATGGAAGGCCTGGACTGAGTCTTGCGAACTTATCACAGTATCCCTACAGTGTGGTGCAAGGCCTGGCACCTAGTAGGCCCTACATGAATCAAGGAGTGGATGAATGAAACTACCAATGGGAGGGGGAAAAGCCACGAGATGAACAATCTGAATGGACAACTTTATGACACGAGGCTCTCTTAATGTTCCTCCTTGGCTTTGTGCATGGTGTCAAAATGCCCATGGAATTTCCCTCTGAAATATGAATGTCTCTCTGTGGTTTTCTTCTCTCATCTCTGGTGATACAGTCTTTGCATTCTGACTCAGATCATACCTGCCCAAGACATCCCACTCTGACTGAGCCTGACTCACAGATTGTTATGTGCATTGACATGTGTATTGGGGGTTGGGAGACACAGCAGCCTCCTAGACATACTTTTGGGCTGGAAGGAAATGGGAACGGATGATATATATTAAGGATCCTGGCTTCAGGCCCATTTGTGAGAAGCTGCATGTGCCAAGGAACGGATTTGCATTTGCATTTCCCTGGCATGGTTTTGAGTGGTGCCTCGTGGCTGTCTCAGCCCGTCTGTTGGGAGCTGGCACATGCGAGCAGGTGATTAGCCTCGCTCCCTAGTAGGTCAAATATCAAAGAGGAGCTATTTTGCCTTGTAATGGCATTTTCATTTCCAATATATTATATTGATTAAATTAGATTAATCTTGCATCTGTGGAATAGAATTCACTTAATCAATATTCAGTTACAATGTAATAGGGTTGAGGGATTTCAGCTAACTCAGCGTGGGACAAGCCACATCTCAGAATACTCACCAACAAAAGGAGATTGGTTAGTCCCCTCTATTTCTGTAATTTCATTTATTGAAGATATTTGTAATGTCTCCTCTGCATCCTACGAGGTTGTTGTAGTGATACAACAGACACAGACAGTCAGCAAATACACAGATACACAGTTATGGGCTCTTCCAAATGCCAAAAGGGAGGTCTCTGAGTGCAGGAGGGACGTCCTCATTTAGATTAGGTTTTGAGGAAGATTCTTTGCAGCAGTGACATTTATGCCGTGTTTCCTGTTTTCATTCCTCATGGTGGAAATCTGTAAGAAATCTTTGAGGAGGAAAAAAATGGACTCTTTAAAATAATTAAAATATCAGATCGTGGTGGCAGATTTTGAGGTGAGAGGTTGGAGATGCCTGTGAGAGGTCAGATAGGCATTGGGAGGTAGGGATTAGAGCGGTCAGGTCTGGGGACACAGGTGGGCATCATCAGTGGTGGGGAGCCTTGGACGTGATGGGGGAGGGCGACATCTCCTGAAGGCTGGCGAGAGAAGAGGCATATTTAGAGCATAAAGCCAATGGGAGGAGCCGACAGAGGAGATGGAGAGGGTGTGGCACAGGCTCCCCGAAGAAACTGTCCAGGGCAGTGACACGTGCTGGGGACTTACAGGGAAGACCCGAGTTTTGTGGATACATTTGACCCTCACTTGTCCTGCGATTTTAAGTATTTGCTCTCTACAACCACATGCTATGAACACTATTACTTTTAGAGATAGGTATGTAAAATAAGGGCTTTATTAATCTTTGACTTTCTATGTATAACTATTAAGGGGGAGATAGTCATTTAATACAGTGACATATTTCACTACTCAGCAATACATTCTAGATTGATTTTTATTTTTTGATCATCACATATTTGATTATAAAACAAGAGGTCTGTAACAACAGAGCATTTTAAACATTGATTTACTCTCATGCCTATAATATAAGCAGACAATTGTGAATTAAGAGGTTGATAAACTTTGTTTGAGGTTAGGTCATATCCTTATATTTAGATGACATCAGGAAGAAAGTGGGGTGCGTCCTGCTACCTTCTTCTAGTGTTAAATATCACTTCGTGATTTGGGCAGATTGTGCTTAGTTACAGTATTTATTTGTGGAAGGGAATAGAAGGATGGATGAAAACCCTGCTCTAGAAAGAGACTGAGGACTCTAATATCAGACCTCTACTTCTCATTATCAAAATGCTGACATAGTTTTTTGAATTGCTACAAGGGGTTATTGATAATTTCATGTCTTATCCATGCAGCTTTGTGCTTCAGACTTCCTTGCTATTAATTTTTTGAACAAGCATAAATGACATGTTAACTAATGGGAACAATTAAGACATTTTTCAAAAAGTAATTTGGTCATGAGGATAAACTGTTTCTGTTATTATTACTTAAATATTTGAACATTTTCAACCTAAAGTGACCTTATGTTTGAGCTGGTCTACTTTTTAATATTTTAGAAATCGGTAAATAATGCACTTGAAATTTATTAGCAAGTCTAAAAATAAGCTTGTTTTATTTTGAAATAATCATGGTGAAGTCACAGCCAGAAGCTAAATTTGGTAATGTTCAAATTTATCAAATTCTTGACCTAATGAGTGATTATTAGTCCAAAATTTAAGTGGTTGATGTTAGGGTGTTACGGGACTATGTAGCATTTATGATGAGTACTTTAAATAATAGAAAGTCAGAGATGGAGGTTAGAGGGCTAAGGAGCCATAATCTCAGTGAGTTGTAACTATCAGTGATGTCTCTGATTTGGGTTCAGTGAGGCAGAAATCATGGCCATTGGCAAAGAATACTTTAGCTACTTTCCTTTGCTAAAGATCATGTCCCTTGGAACATGTAAGTTATCCCACTAAATTAAAGACTGGTTTTTTAGTGACTTCAATCCTACCATCTTACCATGCCACACTTTGAGAATTCCATGACTTGGGAACATAATTCTAGGCCAAGGAGCTCAGGAAAGAACAAGTTTGACTTGTGTTTCTAAGTGGGTCACTAAAAAGAATTGCGTTACAATACAATTACAGTTGTGTAGCATTTCCCAAGTTATGAAAACAGAAACTCTGCATACCATTTATGTGACATGAACTAAGTGGAAGGCAGGCCCTGGAGTGAAACTTACCCAGTCTGCAAGGTAAAAGAAAAGAATTCTCCCAGGACCTGGACCCTTATGAACGATGGCTGATCTGGTATGTGTGGATGATTCTTTTTTCCCAATCACTTATAGACTCGATTCCTAATATCTGGAGTAGAATAATGTGAAGGCAGACAAGATTTGATTAGCTGATCTGAGAGGATGCAGCCTCTATTCTTCTGTAGCTCATACCACAATTACTCTGTAGTTGGAGGTTTCAAAGCCAAATTTGTTTTCCACCTGATTCAGATTTAAATGAACGCTGAGTGTTTGAATGATTCGGCCCTTTCTTGAAGGAAGTCAGGTGTCTGTTTGAATTCTGGCTGCCCCTATCCATCTCTCCATCGCATGTACGCTGTTTCCTGCTCACGCTGCTGAGAGGTGTCCTCCGTACTGTCCTCTAGGAGTGGCGGTATCAGAGGACCAAGTAACATGTGACTCAGTATATTTTTTAAATCACAAAAATTATTTCCACTATACTCTGTAGTGGCATGTTTTTCTTGCAAAGTAAACCTAAGATTCTTAGGGAAAAATTAAATGAATGAAAATAGTCCAGCATGTTTTAAAAACAACAACTTTAAGGGACTTAATCAAAACTGGAATATACTTTCATTGAACAGTTTTAACTGGCAAAAAAATAAGTGGATAGAAGCATGGCACAGAATGTAATTCAGAAATAAACTGTTACATTGTTAAAATTGAGCTTGTGAGGAATGGGAATCACACCTATTTGAAGGAAAGAGAGTTTAAAGAAATAGTAGTAGGATAATTGATTATTATTATTGTTAAATACATGGACCATCACTGCATACCAAAAAAATTTGAGAAGGGAAAACAAAGCAAAACAAACTAGCAGAGTTGGAACAGGGGTGAGCCCAGGACCTCATGCACAAGCTGAAGGAACCTTGGGTGTCCTGCCTCTGCGTGATCCTCCTCCAGCTCTCTAGCTGGGGGGAAGACGGCTGTGAGCTCTTTGCTGGTTCCTGTCTTCTTCATTTTGCCTCTTTCAGGGTGGTGATAGCTGACAGGACTCCACCTCAGGGACTGTGCTCTCGGTGCAGATGGGAAGGAGTTGGGCTCTATTGTCTTTGTCCGCAGTTGCCACAGTGCTTAGAGGTGTGACACTGCTTCTGGTGTTTGTGTGGAGTAAGTAGGGTGGGGAGAGTCATCATGATTTCACCCCTGTGTCCCTGCAGCAACCAGGCCAGCAGGCAGGTGGGGGTGTTGCTCCTCTCATGACACCTGCCTGGAACAGGGAGGGTAGAGTAAAAGGGCTCTCCTCTGCCTAGACCGCTGGCTGGAGACGACAGGCTTCCTGGGAGACTTTTTCCTGCCCCCCCCCCTCCCCCCCCCGTTAGTAGATCCCGGGAGTGAGCCCAGGCTGGGACGCACAGGAGGCATCCCCAGCCAGTGTAAGGAATCCCAGCTGTTCCTTGAGTCCTGATGCCTGGTCATCCTTCCTTCTGTGTTTCATCGTTGCATCTTCTCATGGCTCCTTTAGGACTTTTGTCCAGGGGTTTTTGTTGCATTTAGGAAAAATAGGTTGGAGTGTGTTTTTTTTCTATCTTGACTAGAACTGGAAACTGTCATTTTAAAATGATTTTGAAATTTCAGTTTGTTTTCCCTTTCACCCAGGAGTTAACAGAAGGGTTTTTAGTATCCACGTGGAAAGCTCTTTTGGTGCTGAGCTTTTGTTACTAAACTAGTTTCGTTGCAAGGTGATCAGAAGGTGTTTTTTGTAATATTCTCCTTATTGAAGTTATTGATGCTTTCATTGTGACCTAATATGTGACTGATTTCTATGAATAAGTCAGGGGCCTTTGGGAGATGAATAAATTCTCTGTTATCAGAATATAGTGTCTAATATATACCCATGAAATTTACCCTTCATGACTGTATCTATGTTGCTTAAATCTTTTATCATCTTACCTTATTTTCTTTTCATTTTGCACACACACACACACCCCACAGAATTTTACTCACTTTGACCAGAACAAAGGGGAGTGACAGTCTCAGGAAATGTAGTCAGAGCATGGGAGAAAAGATGAACTTCCAAAAGATGTGCACGCACTTTGGCTGATGGGGAAGAGCGGGTGGGTCTCATGTCATAGGTGTTCCATGAATGGGGATAATGTGAATTTGAGCAATCACCGAAAACATGCATGGAAAGTGGCACTTAACTGTGGCAAAGAAACAGCATTTGCGGTAAAGGGAAGGATATTTAGTTGTTGCTGTGAGTACAAGTTAGGGAATGGGAAGAGATATCTAAAAAGGATGTAGGAGGCACTTTTTATGTGGCAGGCTTTGTGCAATCCTTGCAATGGTCTCTTTAAGGAAGCCTAAATAAATGGATGGGGTATGTGTTTTCACTGAATGTGACTTCTTGCACAGAGTGGATCTGGTGGTCCCAGTTTTTGTCTCAGTTTTGTTTTATATTTCATCCATAATTAATATAATTTTAAATGAAATGACCATAATACAAGTTTTTAATACCTCCCTTATTTTGGTAGACTTGCCATTAATTTATAGTTTGTTAATTTGTTCTCACGTGCTCTCTATACACTGCACACAGTCTTTCTCTTTGAAGACCAGAATCTCTATATACTACTGACAATTCCACTCATAAAAAAATGGCAACCCTCTGAGAATGTGCATGGTTTGGGGATGTATTACTCCAAGAATGGTAAGGAAACAACTTTGAGGGGAATTGGTTTACTTTTTTTTTGTTTTGAGATTCTATGGGACCTCTATGTCTCACAAGCCTTTGTGAGAACAGCCCTTATGGACTGCTGTATTTGAGGCAGAAATCTATTGTGGGCATATTCATGAACAGGTCAAGATGGCAGTGACCTTGTCTTCTGATCTCTGACTGAGGATAAATGTAAGAGGGAGAAATGGGAAGTGCTGCAGAAGAGCCCAGAATGGTCAGGAGGAATTGCGGCTCAGGAAGGAAGAAAAGAATCTCAGGTATCCTGGGGGCTCCAGCTGCTTTTTATTTGAAAAAGCACATGCTTTCTGAGTCCTAGTTTTCTCATATTGTAAAATGGGATATTTAGACTTAAATGATCTCTAAAGTTTCATTTAGTTCATTGTATATCTGTTAATAAAGGAAGAATAGGATTTATGCTTACCCCCCAGGTCACTGAATTTACACTGAGATTTAAAAATTACACTGCAGGTAAAAGAATATAGCTTGCATATAGTTTTGAAATGCCTATCGAAAACCAGAACAATGGGTTTTTAAAGAATGAGAAAATAAAAGCTCCTAGAAAAACTCAATACAGGTTTCCTCTGCCATTCAAAAGTACAGTGTGCCTGTGAAACCTTTTCTAAGCCAAAATTATGTGAAGAAGCAATTACCATTCATCTATGTGGAAACGTTTTTGAGGCTCCCAGACCCCCAAAATAACTTCTCGTAGGCTTTCCTGATAGCTAAGGACACATCTTGCTAACAGACTCACAAAATAAATGCAGATAAATCACAGATGCTCACAGGCACAGTTCAAAGCTACGGGGCATGATGCTGAAGTGCCGGTGCGGCTCTGGGGGCAGAGCCTGGGGGTCCACTCAGGCAGATCGGGGTGAACACTGCCTTCATGAGGTTCACTGCAAAACAAACGTGAACACTGGTTTCATTTTTCCCCTTCATAAAAGCAAAAGTCCTCTTCGGATTTCTTTTGGTTAGCATGAACGGTACTAATGTAGATCTGTGCAAGTCAAGTGACAAAATGCGAACTTTCAAAAAGTGGTGTTATACACAGAGAAGACAAGTAGTGATTCTACAACATCTTACTATGCTGATGGACAGTGACTGTAATGGGGTTTGTGGGGGGGACTTGGGGTAGGGGAGAGCCTAGTAAACATAATGTTCTTCATGTAATCGTAGACTAATGATAACAACAATAACAAAAAAAGTGGTGTTATACCTGTACACTGTTTACACTTCTCTTTGTCACTGGAACCGATCAAAGCTAAAGCTTCCTTGAATCTGGAGATTTAAAAGATTCACTTTTCATGAAAGATAATGATGTCCAAGATGGGGTGAAAAATAATTCAGGAAATCAAATGAGCCCACGATTACATTTCTTCGGGAAGTTGAAATTCTGAGGTGAAATATGAGCTCGAATTTGCATCTTAAGAAATTTAAATTAAATTTTATTTGGGAAACCTCCCTATCTTGCGGTGTTCTTAAATATCACAGAACTGAAGGAGTTGGAATAGGACGGGTCATGAATAAGCAGTAGTGATGATGACTCAGCTCTCTGGGAACTCATCGTCCACCGCTCTGTTTTGTGAACACGACAGCGTGATGAAACGACACGGCACAAACAAGTGGGAACCAATCAGGCTTCCCTCCAGTTTTTGGAATTCTGATGGGGACAGACTGTAGGAAGTCCCAGTGACTCATTCAGATGTGTGAGGAGGATGCCATATCCAGGTATTGATTGCCAAGTGAAAGCTGAGATTGTTCATTTCCAAAGTCACAGAGAAGGAGAGGAGAAAAGGAGAGCAAACAGAAGCAGATTGGGTAAATATCTTCAGGCACACCAGAGATGTAGACCAAGTGAATTCTTCTGTGCTGTGCCCATAATAAAACAAATACCCCAAGAAGTAAAGCTGGACCTAATATTTGAAGCATTTAGGATGAATTAATCATGACACAACATATGCAATTAAGCCATGGAACGTGCTACTACCAGATTTTATTCACTTCGATATATTAGAAGGATTGGGTGGCAAACACAGTTCATATCAACATTTCAGTGTTTGCAATTCAGAACGAACAAACCAGACATCAAACAAAACACAAATGACTTCAGCTTCCTGGGAATATCCTCATATATTTTAGGATGTGTAGGAAATTTCCCTTAAGTAATGTTTTACGGCTATTCTTATTGACAGATTTTGATGATTACTTCCAAAAAGAGCGTCATGTACTTCCCATTAGTGTTCTGTTGCCGGGGAGTTTTATATTCCCAGCCTAACTATGGTGCTCCTACCAGAGTCCACAGCCTCCTCCCCTGACCCCTCATATACTCCTGGACTGATTGCCAA